TTTGATTTCTTTTCAATTTTAACTATTAGCCTATTTTTGTTGAATAAAATCGATAAAAAAAGAACATTTTAGTTATTAAACTCAATACAGATATACATAAAATGTTTAAAATATTATTTTTTTTATTGAATTTGATGACTAAAATAATCATTTTTCTATTGATTTTACTTCATGAAAATTTGTAGATGATTTAGATTGAAAATAAATCAAAAGTTTAAAATTTAAATTGACAAAATTAAAAATTAGGGTTCATTTTGTTAAAAGCGTCAAATTCTATATATTTTTTTTTTGTAATTTTCCCTATCTTCAATTTTTTTATTTGCACAAAAATTAATTATAAAATTAAATATTTATCTTTTCATATGAGTGCAGGACTTGTAAAAATGTGCAATCTACCTTATATGAAAGGATTTTGTCTAATTTTGTGATATATTTTTGTGTTCTCAAACTTTTGTCTTATGAATAATAATATAAAAATGAAAAAAAGTTTAGGTATACAAAAAGTGATCACAAAATTAGATACAATTTTGTCACATGAGATGAGTCACACGTTTTTTTAGGTCTTATGTTCATTTGAGAGGATTGTATTTGATCAATTAATTTCCCTGTTCCTAGAAGATCCATTAAATAATTATGTGTAAGCTCTTATTTTTATTTTTATTTTTAAATGGACATAGGTACAGTTGGAAAAAATTCATTAAAAACCACAATCCAAAAGTAAGCAACCAATCAGATCACATAAATTGACTAAAGTCTCCAACACTTCATCTTTTTTTTTAAAAAATAGAGTAGACTTTTGTTGCTCAAACATTTACATCAAATTAGTATCAAATTCAAGATATTTTAAACTTTTCATCTAATTGAGAATGATTGTGTCTTTCATCAATTTACTGTACATAGTCGTTGGAGATATAGAGCATACACTATCACCGGATGACCAGTTGGTTGTCCACCTGACCACCTCATTGCAAAATTTTGTTTTAGAATATGGAAAAATTACACCAGCTAGTCCGCTGGCCGGACATCCCCCAGTCGTCCTCTCCGTCGATCGATGGTTTGGTAAAATCTCAGATTACTCCGTTAGAATGCGCGATAACAGATGAAGCATTTATTCAAATTTGATGGAGAAAAAAATTAAACATTAGAGATGCTTTAATATAATCCAATTTATTAAATTTGACAATCGAATTACGATATAATTTTTTTAAAAAATTAATCTTTACTTATTTTCCCAACACCATTTACCAACTCGAATTAGACTCCTCAGGCCTCACTCGTGAAATATGCATCAAACAATCCGAGATCGAGAACACAAAAGATTTTGATTCATGTCTCGAAAAATACAAATATGAATTGGCCATTTCACCTTTTAAACACTGGCTGCTTAAAATTTGCCGACCAAACGTTTTAGTCATGTTAACATCTCCTATGAATTTGTCATATGCATTAGAAATTCAAAATTCAGCTCTCCATACAACCTAAGGGGTTATTACCACCAAAAAATAAAAATAAAAATAAAAATCTAAAATTAATATGATTAAAAGATCATCTAAACATATGTTAATTCATGCTTAAACACTATTTGGGATATAATTTTTTGGCTAAAAAAAGTCAAAGATTTAAAAAAAAATTAAAATTAAAAAGTCAAAAAACTAACGTGTATCCAAATTTATTGGCTTACAGCAATGTAAAAAAACCCATGTACCTTTACATTAATTTTTTCCATATAAAACGAAAACAAAGACAAAATGAAAATTTTAGTAGTCTTTTGTGTTCTTTCATACAATTAAAAAATCACAAAAAAATTCTTTCTCAAACATATTAACTTTTTTAAACTCATAAAAAAAGAAGAAAAAACCCACTAAAAAAGTCAAACTCTTTTGGTTTCCCTACCATTGCCTATTTTGTTGTTTACTTTTATTTCAACATATCTTTTTCATGGATTCATGGATCAAATCTTAATTCTACGTTGTTTAGTTGCTTTCTTTTAGGCTAAAATATATTTCCATGTAAACAAACAACAATTAGATGTGGTAAAAGAAGCAACAACAGACAGAGCAAGTAGTATATTCCTTTTGGAAATTGGTCTAGGAATATGATAATTTTCCTTTGAATTTCATCCAACATTTTATATTCATGTTTTTTTTGTCTTTCAGTTGAATTTTGTGCATGGTTGCTTGATGCAGCAACTGTACTTATATTTTGAAGAAACCAATCCACAATTTCTAAATAAATTAGTCTCTTAACATAAAAATCATTTTTGTTTACTCACTTAACCCTTTTTCTGATTGGTTAATTCATAGTAGTTGGCTCTACTTAAAGCAATGGACCCATGGAAGGAGCTCATCAAGAAAGAAGTTATGTTCATCCACTCACTAGGTCAATGAACACAATTAGTTCTCTTGCAGGTCAAACATGCTGGGTTTGTATCGCTTGATTAGTATTTTACATCTCATCACGCAGTTACAAATTCGGGTGATAAATTTTGTTTAAGTACTAAAGGTATTACAATAATGTATTGATTCAAATCTTGACATACATATTGATATCTATACAAAGAGTCGTTTTATATTATTTTCTTTTTCAGTATAATGAAACTAGTTTGAGCTGTAGATATAGACAGTCTTGTCAAATCATAAATGTCGTATTTTTATTTATTTATTTGTAATTGATTCTTCTTGCTATTATATGTGTGATTTATTTTGCAACAAGACACGTAAGCCTCTAGCTAGATCTTTTACCATCAAAAAATTCTTTTAGAAAATGAAGTATGGCTGTTGAAAACACTTTTTTATTTTATTCTAAATCATAGAGACACACATGGGTGTGGCTGTTGTGTTTAGAAATTAGATAAAATTTGGGTCATAGCTCAATTGTTTATGAAAGTTGAAACCATGAAGCATGTCTGTGTATCTGTCAGATTCAATTGAAAACTGATGCTTCACTTAACTCCAAAATAATATTGATTGTTCACATAATAATATTATCTGGAACCTTTCCTAACTGATATTGAACACAACTACCAATCTGACTTGCCCCATATAAAAATTAGTAGTAAGATAAAATAGAAGTTTCATTTTGTTTATTTATTTGGAAACTTATTTTCACCTCCCGACAAACAGGCCTTAAAATATCATATGGATCCAGAGAAGACTATTCTACCCAACCACTGATCACCATATGAAGATGAAACTGTAAAACTGTAAAGCCAAGTTAATTGCACCACCTGCAGTCTGGCAGTGTCAATAGTCCAACAAAACAAGTTATAAATATGAACAAAGTTCTGAATAATTTTTAAAAAATGGGCCATATTTTCACAATCAATCTAAATAAATCTTCCTAGTTTCCTAGTCTAGTGTGGTGTCTATGGTACACTTTCTACCCACCAACTCACAGTATATTTTTGGTATTTTCTCCAATTTCCAATAGAGAAAAAGCTTTTCAATTACCAAAGAAATAGAAAAAGGTTTTCATTAAAGAATTGCATGCACCCTCTCTCTCTCTCTCTTTCTCTCTCTCTCACTCTCACTCTCACATATGTAGCTATGAAAAAAGAAGCTTTAGATTAGGAGGTATACAACACGACAAAAAGAAAGCCTGACCATATTTTTTTTTTTTGGTATTCTTTTGTATCGATGTTGGCAAAGGTCAAGCGCTCTATTTTAACTATATAATAATAATAATAAATATTTTTTATTTTGTGGATTCTTTGACAAACGTTACTCTCTGTGGTGCTGAAAGACAATGTGGGATTGTTGTGGTATCTATCTCTATCCCAATCTCTCTCCAAAGTGTGAAAAAGATAGATTAGAGACAAAAGAGAAACCCCACGAAACCTCATTTCCTTTCACTTTCAAGCATCCAATGTGTTTCCTTTAAACCTCTCTCCTCAACTTTCATCCCTTTTGAGGTGATCCCCCCTGCTTTGCTTTTTCATTTTTAGCCTCTCTAATGTCCCATCCTGCTCACATTTCACATCTTTGGACTTAACATAACCCCCCATTTCGATTAGTGTTCTTGGCTTGTGTGCACTTGGACCAACTCACTTGGATATATATACAGACCTTTTACTTACTGGCATGGCGTACTATTTTTTGGTTTATCTTTTGCCAATTAGTGTTTTGCTATGTAGAAAGCAAATTAAGCAGTTTTAGAGTGAATTAAGCGAGTTGTGCCGGTTGCACAAAAGATTTTCACTGAATGGACTTATTAGAACATCTCTAATCTTTCACTATTTTTTTTTTATTAAATTTGAATTTGACGAATAAATAGCTAAAAATAAATTTTAATCATTTCATTAAATGCGAATCAAATTATGAGATCAAAGAAATTTTCATCAAATTAAGGAGGAATTAGAATTGTCACCAACTTTTCAACTATCATATTTTTATTTAAATTTTATGAAATTTTAGAAAGAGTAAGGATTGAATTTATTTATTTATTTTTTTTAATGAAAACAAAGATTAAAACAGGTTTTTAGGATAAGTTGGAAAATTTTGGAAAAAGAGAGTTGGAGTGTTCCACATCAAATCAAACATTTAATCAAATTTGATGAAGAAAAAAGAAATAAAGGTTGGAGATGTTCTTATGTGATCCATTATGTAAAAAATGTTACGTTCAACTATTTTTTTTATGTGGTAAGGAAAATATCGACAATGAGCTCACTCAATTAGTTCTAAAATAAAAGCAGGGGCTGCTGCAATGATGCCCCGTGTATTATTGCTGTGATTATTTGAATCTTGACTGAGATATATGTTATCATATTGTTTTTTCATAGTCAAATAATTGGGTAAAGTTGGCGATCATTTACTTTTATGATGATAAATTATCATTACTACTTTGTAACTGTATTAAAAAATCACCTGATTTAAAGATGGCCTAATAATACATTAGGCAAAACACAAGAGAGTGTATATAAATACGTAGAAGACAAAGGTGGAGGAACGGTCACCAACTCCCATTTGCTTCCCAACAAGAGAAGAGAATGTGGGGTTGGGGTTGTTATATGAGAAACCCCATTATTAACCACATCCTCACCCACTTTTTTTTCTTTTTTTAATCTTCCTCTGATTTGTCCATTTATTACTACAACTCCTATGGTTGAGTAAATTTATCTACTTTTTGTACACCCTTTGACATTTTGGAGTGCATTAGGAGACTTTCTCCAACGGAAAAGCCCACGAGCTGGTTTTACTTCTTTTGATGCCAAAAGACTCTCCATTGCCCAAAAGTTAACAGATTTGGAGGAGAGAGCAGGAGAGAGAGAGTGAGAGTGAGTCCCTTCATAGAGAAGACATACCGGTCAAAGGGTCATCTTTTCACAGCCCATTTAGACCTCTGCCCTGTTCGCGCTTCACAAGCGAACCATCAATTGATTGCTAGTACTTGGTGGTGTGCTGTTGTTTTGCATTGCAAGAAGACAAAGTGGGGTTTTGACTGAGGACCCATTTGGTCTGTTGGGTCTTTTCTGGTTCATCTCCCTCCTACACATTCCATCTGGGTACTCTTTTGTTTGCTCCCAAGGAGTACTCTGTTTTCTCTAATTTATCTTCCCCTCCATTGTTAGAGGTAAATCTTGCTGAAGCATTTTGGGTTTTGGTTTTCAGAGATGGGGTTTGAAGGGTGTGGCAGTAGCAAAGAGCTTGGAGTGGGAGTAACTTCCGTACACAAGCGTTGCAAGAGGTAACCATTAGATTTATTGTTATTGCTTGGTAATCTATCTTAGTCAGTTTTGGGTATTTATTTGTTCTGCTATTTTCCCGTTCTCGTTGAAACATTGAATTCGAGTAGGAAACTTTGGAGGTTTTGTAGCCAAAATTAGTAGTAGAAAGTGTTTTTAGTTTTTAGAAATGTTGTGAACTTTTGAATCTGGGTTTCAGACACCAAGTCTTACCTTGTTCTTTGTTTCAAGATTGTAGACTTTTGGCTTTTATATCTTCTGATATTGTTGGTAAATCTATTTAATCTGAATGAGCATGTAGCCTTGATAGAGCATAATGGCGAAATAAAGGATTCAGTAGCAGACCAACCCCACTTGATTGGGACACGGCGCTTAGTTTGGTTTGTATATCGGTGGTTATGGTAGAAATAATCACTGTGAGGATTCAGTAGAGATGGGACTTATTCTATGTAACAAAATTACACAGATTGCACTGTGGCTTGAGCTTGTCAACAATAACACAGATTTGAATATGGCCAAATATGTACCTGCTTATGGCCAAATGCTTTCATCTCACATCTATTTCTCTTGACATTAGAGTTGTTCTTTCTCAATGACAGCTTCCCTGATAAGAGGGGACTTGAAGAAGACAAATTGGATAATTTCCTCAAAGCTTCGCCCCGGCCAAAATTGGTAAGAGTTGTATTCTTCTGACTTGTTTCCCTTAGTGAGTAATTCACAGTACTGGGGCCAAGGTTGGATAACTTCTTCTTGATTATCTAATGCATTTGCTAGCGGAGTGATACTATTTAGATAGTTCCATGCTGAACTCTCAAATTGAATGAATCAACTGCTAAGGATCATTTAACAAGCAATTCCCAATTTTTGATCTTGGAGTTAATTTGCTATCAGGATATGGGGCACTTTAAGGACTGTGTGAGGACCAAGAAGAAACAATCGCCTAGCTCTGAAGTCCAAAATTCTCTGAGGCAAGAGGTATAGAACTAAATAAGTCAGTCCCTGCAATACAGTTTAGATTTCCTACACTGAAATCCAAATTTTTTAAAGTGAAGTATGTAACTAGAACATGTTGATCTCAAGGCACATGGCATCAAAAGATGCATAAGGCAATCAATGTTCTTGCTCATGGCCTTGGTAGCCCTGTCTTGACGAGGATTCAATCTTGTGTCATATTATTTAATGATCAATTTCACATTCTATGCAGATCCTACAGCTTGAGAAAAGACTACAAGACCAAGTCATTGTCCGCCATGCTTTAGAAAAAGCACTGGGTTATAGGTCTTCCTCTCATGCCATAACAAATGAAGTCTCAATGCCTAAGGTAGCTTTTCCTTATCTTCACCTTATGGAAACATATGTTATTTTTTAACCCACACACCAATACACCCTTTTGAGAATTTCTTTTTAGCTGGTATATGTTTACAAAATATAAGGCTCAAGTCTTAACCAATTATTGTTAATGTCTGTATGTTTTTTCTTTATGAATTTTTCCCCCCCAACTAATATGCATATATAATAAGATTGACTTAGCAAACTATTTTGTTAAATTTGATGTAACTGGTGGCGTATGCCTGTTGTTTCACATAACTAATGTGTTTCATCTTTGATAACCTTTTAACCATATCAGTAACACAGTGAGAAACTTACTCTATGAATCATAGTATTAACTTGGATATATTTTTTTGCTATATACCACTATTTCTTTCTGGTTGAATTGAAAGAATTCTTTTATTTTACTCCAGCCGGCGACAGAACTGATTAAAGAAATAGCGGTATTGGAGCTGGAAGTTGTGCATTTGGAGCAATATCTTCTCTCATTGTACCGGCAAGCATTTGACCAAAAAAATTCCTCATCTCCATCAACAAAAGATGAAAGATCAAAATCACCCTTCACTACCCCAAAAGGAAGGTATCTGCAAGTTTCCAGATCTGATATTACAACAAGGAGGGAAAGTTCAACCGTTCAAGCTAGTTCTCTGTCGATTGCAAACCCATGGAATGAGTCCAGAAATATAGGTGAAGAGAAGCCAGTAGATTCCAGTGTTCACCGCTGTTACTCATCACTATCACAATGTTCCGCTCCATCAAATAGAACTTCTCCTCCGGCAGAGTCTCTGGGTAAAGCTGTTCGTGCCTGTTATTCTCAACCTTTATCCATGATGGAGGTAACTTAGGTTTAATCACGTAATTCTTTAACTATCACCAGTTGAATTTGATTTCCAAATATTTTGTAGATTATGAATTTTGTTGCTTTTCCACAGTATGCCCAGAATGCTTCTTCAAATGTAATCAGTCTGGCTGAGCATCTTGGTACCTGCATTTCTGATCATGTTCCTGAGACACCTAATAAGCTTTCTGAAGATATGATCAAATGCATGTCAGCTATATATTGCAAGCTTGCAGATCCACCATTGACAAATCAGGGTCTCTCATCTCCCAATTCATCTTTGTCATCAATGAGTGCATTTTCTCCAAAAGATCAGTGTGATCTGTGGAGTACCGGGTTCAGGAAAGATTCATCTTTTGATGTACGGTTAGATAACCCTTTCCACGTGCAAGGACTAAAGGAGTTTAGTGGACCTTACAGCACAATGGTTGAAGTGCCATGTATATACAGAGATAGTCAGAAATTGGGTGACGTTGAGGACATGTTACAAAATTTCAGGTGAGACTTTTTGACATTTTAAAGTCACAAGAAAGTCATAATGAGTGTATCTTTAGCATAATGAACATAACTTGGAATCTATGGTTTGTTTCATTTTTCTCATTGAGTTGTTATATCATAGGTCACTTATTGGTCGATTAGAAGAAGTAGATCCCAGGAAGATGAAATATGAGGAGAAGCTAGCATTCTGGATCAACATTCACAATGCGTTGGTGATGCATGTATTGAATCTCATCAATTGAAATACAAAATTTATAATATAATCTATTCTGTACAGTTCTTCTCTGCTTTAATCACAGTATAATGAATTCCGCTTTCTGAACAGGCATTTCTGGCTTATGGGATTCCACAGAACAACGTAAAGAGAGTATTTCTACTCTTGAAAGTAAGAAGTTTTGTTGGTTTCGCTTGTACGAAATTTCAGTTTGGATTTCATTTTCTTACAATTTTATTTAATCCAGGCTGCCTACAATGTTGGAGGTCATGTAGTAAGTGCAGATACAATACAGAATTCTATCCTTGGATGCCGCATGTCTCGTCCTGGACAGGTAGATCCCTTGCTATGGGTTTTGTTTTGAAGCTTTTTTTCCTTTCTTGAAGTCCTTGGTGTTCATTTTGTTATAGTCTTTGAAGTTAAGCTTTTACTTCTCATATCTTTTATATATGCATGCTAATTGAGCAGAGATTAAAGCATGTGGGCCATAAAATTAAGGTAGGATGGATGAAACGGAGGACTACATCAGATCAAGAGTGTTTTACGCTATTAAGATTCCTATTAGATTGAAAGGACAATTTCGTGGTACTGTTACTAGGCTTGTTATGATGTATATTGTATTGAATACTGGCAGTTAAGAAATAACATGGTTAGTAAACGAACTAAGTTGAAATGAGAATGTCGGGATGGATGAGTAGTGTGACAAGAAATTATTCCATTAGGAAGAAGTTAGGAATGGCACCAATTGAAGGTAGGATGAGCAAAAATCATTTGCTATGATATGGTCATATGTATCATAGGCCAATTAATGTGCTTGAGAAGAGGAGTGATTTGATACACGTAGACGATGACAAAAGAAATAGAGTAAGGAGAAGAACTTAGGCTTAGGCAATAAGAAAGGGCATGGCTATCTTACTTTAACCAAGGATATGACTGAATAAAGCCAATTGACGGAAATGGATCCATGTAACTGATTCCAAGTAATTGAGACAAAAAATTGTTGAACATCTTTCATTTGAGGATCTTTTTGTAGACATCCCCCTTCCCAAACTTCCAAAAAAAAAAAAAAAACTCCTGAATTATGAAGTAATTTCATACAACCAATCATGTGTGTGAACTTTGAAGTAACTATTGTCATATGTAGTGGGCCTAATAAAACTTATTTCTGCTTGTAGTGGCTTCGCTTGTTACTTTCTTCCAGAACAAAGTTTAAGGTTGGAGATGAACGACAAGCATATGCAATTGAACATCCCGTACCCCTTTCACACTTCGCACTATGTTCAGGAAGCCATTCTGATCCTGCGGTAATTGCCTCTCTATATTACTTTAGTAGCACTCCATTTATATGTGATGCAGATAGATTGGATTGTTATTTATATGGGAACACAACATCTAGTTATACTATGTTCTTATTATCATTTTGAAATAGTGATCTTTTGTTCATGTTCAGATTCGTATTTACACACCCAAGAGAGTATTTCAAGAGTTGGAAGTTGCAAAAGAAGAGTACATTCGGGCTACTTTTGGTGTAAGAAAAGACCATAAAATTCTTTTACCAAAAACCGTGGAGTCCTTTGCTAAAGATTCAGGGTTGTGTCCAGCTGGTTTGTTAGAGATGATCCAACAGTGTGTGCCTGAATCTGTGAGAAAGAGTATTAAGAAATGTCTGGTTGGGAAGTCACGGAAGAGCATTGAATGGATTCCTTACAATTTTGCTTTCCGATATCTCATATCAAAAGAGCTGGTGAAGTGATTGCTTGCACTGGTAAATTCTGATACTGGAGAGCTCCATAGCATTGTTCATTTGTTTTCTTTTTTAAAAAAAAAAAAAAAACACTGGGAGAGTTTTTATGTACCTTTTGTACAAATGAATTAGAATAGGAAAAGGCTGAAATGGGAGGATTGTATGTCTTGCACTACAGTTTGTATTTTGTGTTAATGTAATCTCCATTTTGCTCCATCATGAATTAAATGGGAAGTATATTTCTTCTTCTTTATCGTCTTCTTTTCTTTTTTTTTTCTTTTTTTTAATGTTGATGTTGGATATTTCCATTAACTTACTGTAGCTTAGCTACTGTCTTTTAAAATCTGTGGCATTGTTGCTTCTATTCCTAAACAATAATGTTTACTTATCAAGTAACAAGGTTTAACCAAAAAAAATTATAATAATAATTTTAGGGACCAATAATTCGAACACAAATAGGAGAAAACAATACTATTTTTATGTTTGATACGATCCACAATTGAAGTAAATATTCATCCATCATGGGGGGATATATTTTGTGAATTACAATATGTGGTCAAGGTGACACCAAAGTGTTAGCTGAGGTGTCACGTGTCTTGGTCATAGCACCGAGGTGATCTCGGTTAGGCCGAGGTTATCTGCGGAGATACCGGAATCCGAGATGAACGGATAAGGGATAAAAGTTCTAGAATGGAGGAGGATCTCAATCTGGATAAAAATAAAGTTCTTAGGGAGTTTATCTTTATCTGACTGGGAATCCAAGATGAGCATTGAGTTAGAGTCCATTGAAGTTAGGCATCTACAAGGATCAGGTTAGTGCTGGTTATAAAAGTAAGGCACCCTCGAAAGTCTAAGGTATGTTTTTTGTATTATGGCTTGTGAGTTAAGCACTATTTACTATCTTTGAGAGATAACTGAGTATTGACTTGATCGTCGAAGTGCCCTCGGGTGGATGAACCATCGCCGGAGTCTTATCTTTCTGTGACAGGTTGTTCAGGCGTGATCTATTCTACCTGTGCTCTCCTGCTGGGTTCTTGTTTGGCAGTGTGGTCGGAAATCAACACCCACAATTTGGTGCCGTCTATGGGAACGTAAGGAGAATAGATGGCCAACGACAGGCAGAAAGAGAAGATTGGAGATGACATCCCTAGTGGGAGTGGCAAACATACCGATCCCAATGTAAGGGAAGAGACCTGTAATGAAGAATCCCGGGGAAAAGGACATCAGCCAAGAGGGAGACATTCCAAAGAAGGCAGGCCAATGCGAGTATTATAACGAAAACGACCTCCAGGTATGGAAAGATAGATGCCTGAGGAGAGACGGCGAGATGAAGGGGATGACAAACAAATTGGTAGACCTACAATCAGTTGTCAATTTTATGATGCAGAACAACGTCAGGCAGCCACCGTTCCCATTGGAGGACATGCCGATTCCAGCGGCCAAGAACGATGCCCAGAAAAGGGGGCAAAAAGCAATCCCTACAGTCCCTTAGCATGACCGGGCAAATGAGCATTCTCATCGGCCTTCACGGGACGTCGGGTGAGAAGAATCGATGAAAGGAGAGTCTCAAAAGACACCTCGTGTCAAGGAAACTTATGCCAAGGAACATCGGCATGTTTAGGGAAAGGAGCTTTGTTTTGACAAAACGAATGGAGGGAGGTCCAAGAGGACTCATAACAACACAGGAAGTAGCGCACCAAAAAGGCTGAAATCTGTTGACAACCAAGCTTCTGGATGGACTAAGGAGGACTTGAGAGACTACCTCTAGAGGAAGCGACAAGATGCCGAAGTCACATCTCCGATCAAACCGAGAATGCCGTTCTCAGTAAAGCTGGATAAGTTTAAGGCCCTGAAAATGTTCCACATGTCAAGATTCTAGATATACGATAGTAAATCCGATCCTAACTTTCACGTTGGTTTATACTTGAACTCAATGGCACTATATATCGGGAACGAACCGTTGCTCTGCAAGGTGTTCTCCTCATCATTTGGAGAAATCGCATCAGATTGGTTTCACAAGTTGCCGAAAGGAACTGTGAAAAGTTGGGAAGGCCTGGCCGAGATGTTTGTGGCTAGTTTTGTTACAAACAAACTGCAGCCTTTGAGGGTAGACTCCCTGATGGCTCTAAGAATCGGCGAGGATGAAAGCCTCAGAGCTTATGCCAAAAGGTATTATGAGGTTTTTAATCGAATACCAGGGTGTAACCAAGAGTTGGCAGTCGTATCTTTTAAGAACGGCCTGAACGATGATTGCCTGCTTCGAAAGTCACTCGCAAAGACGCTGCCAAAAAGTATGGAGGAACTCATGGCCAGGATCGAGAAATATGCGAGAGCTGAAGAAGACACACTAGGGACAAAAGCATTGAAACAAGAAAAGAGAAATGGCTCGCCGAAGCGAGGTCAAGTTAATACTGGATATAACATGTAAGAGATAAGACTGAGGGTCGCACAGGCAGTCCCCACCGTATTCTGGATTCCGGTTTATAAAGTTCTGGAAAGAATCAGGAACCAGCCGTATTATAGAGCACCAGAAAAGGTTCCTGGCGAATTCATGAAAAGAAGCCTGGGAAAGCACTGTGCTTACCACAATGAAGACGGACACCTGACACAGGGTTGTAGAGCCCTAAAAGCACATTTGGAAAATCTGGTAAGACAAGGTCATTTAAAGGACCTAGTAGATGAGGCCAGAATAAGGGAAGAGCAAGCAAGGCGGCCCTAGGCACCAGCAGCACCACCTCTACCAGCACTGAAACCGCAAACAGATGGACCTTGAGTGATCAACGCGATTCACTCGAAGGTCAATGAGAACGAGGTACGTGGGGAGACTTAGAGGGTAAAGCACTTACAACATGTGTATCAGGTCTAGCAAAAAAGGCCTAGGGCAGACGAATACCAGGGACCGATGGTGTCCTTTACTGAAGCTGACCCAGACATGGTGTAGCATCCACACAACGATGCTCTGGTGATATCCCTCAAGATTGGAGAATGCCAGGTCAGACGCATTCTGATTGACCAAGGCAGCTCTTGTGGCATTATGTATGTCAAATGTTACAAGGAGCTCGGCCTTCACCAAGATGATCTGGAGCAGCCCAACAGTCCAATGGTTGGGTTCAATGGAACGCCGACATGGCTCTTGAGAGCAATAAGTTTGGAGGCACAGGCAGGCTTCAAGAAGGTAAGTACAAAGTTCACAGTAATTGACACCCCCTCCCCTTACAATGTTATCTTGGGGAGACCATGGTTACACGCAATGAGGGCTGTTCCCTCAACGCTACACCAGATGTTACGGTTCCCAACAGAGCATGGAATTGAGGAGGTTAGAGGGGATCATGTGCAGGCAAAGAATTGTTCCATGGCAGCAATGAAATCCATCTGCAATGTGCGAGAGGCAAAGACAATAGAAATTGAGGACGAGGACATGGAGTGTAACAACCCCGACCCTTAATTAACGTTAGTTCATGCTTAAGTGTGCCTAACAAGTGATTAAAAAGAAATTATGAGTTAATGTCATGTGTGCTGCATTATTAATGTGTCTCTATCTGTTTGGCGTAGAAAGATCTGTTTATGTTTTAGTTTCGATTTGCGAATTGAAGGCCTTATCGGCATCCGATATAGAAATTGATTTGATTTATATGTCCATCAGGATTTATAGGATTTTATGGTAGGTTTAATTTAAATTCGATTTGGGATGATTAAATTAGAATAAATAAGGTTGAATTATTTGAATCCAAATTAATTACAAGTGTGCCATTGAGTGGGCTTATGCAAATTGTTGCACACCTTATACATATTTTGACTTGTCCTTTTCCATCCTCAAGACCCAAAACGTGAGAGAGAGTGAAGAAGGAAGAATTGGCTCAAAACTTAAAGAATTTGGGGCTCAAATTATAGGATGCTAGGAATTGTTGTCATTGATGAAGATTTAGGAGTTTTGACTTCAACCAGTGTAGATTCAAGCCTCTAGGTAAGGGACTAAACGCTAAATTGAGTAATTGAGTTAGATTCTACAAGATTATTGATGAATTAAGTAAATTCATGGTAGAATTGCATTAGAGTTGGGAGAATTGGGCCATACCATACATGCATGTGCAATTCTTCACAATTTGAGCATAACTTCAAAGGATTCTTTCATGCATGTATTTATTTCATCTATGTTTTGAGAATTCATCATGTTTTCTATCAAATTACCAAATTTAATCTTGGTTTGAAGTGTTTGAACTCAAGGGAGATCATGCATGTTGTATATATGTTTTATTCATGAAGTTTTAGTTGGGATTGTGTTCAATTGGCATGCCTTTGGGCCATGGTTTCTTGAAATATCTTTAATTCATGTTGCGTTAGGGTCTTCATGTTTTTTTCTCAAGTTTTGGTCAAGAAAAATCGAGTTTGATGCTTTAAAGGTTGAGTTTTGTGCTTGAGGATCAATTTGGAAATTTCAGATTTTTGATCCACGCTCGAGCGGAGGACTTCACGCTCGAGCGTACACTCTGAGTACCGCTCGAGCCTGAAATGCATATGCCCAGAAGTTCATGTGTTTTGCAGTCCGCTCGAGCGAGGGAATCTGCGCTCGAGCGAGGGTCTGAGTCTCACGCTCGAGCGTGGATCGAGCGTCCATCGAGCGTGAAAAACATGCAACCAGTACTTTTTCAAGAGTTTGCAGTCCGCTCGAGCGAGAGAAGTCATGCTCAAGCGGAGGTTCATTGTCTGCATGTCCTCTCGAGCGGGAAAAGCCACGCTCGAGCGTGGACCCTATTTTCAGCAAGTTTTGAAAAATATTTTCCAGCATATTTTTGCATCCTCATTCCATCCTAGGCATTCCTAGGCCATGTTAAGACTCCATAATGAGGATTAAAGACTAGAAACACACTAAGAGCAATGAATTAAGTTATGTGCAATTTGAGTGTGGGAATTCAATGTATGTATCTATCATGTTATTTAGGTCACGTGCCTCGAGATAAGTGAATTGCCCACTTTGTCATCTAACTGGAGCTACCAATTATCTGTGAGTAATAACTCTGTAAAGTTATGTTTAACTATGATTATTTTATGATGATATGAGATGACAAGTTTCTGAAATGCTATGTTTTGTGTGAATGAATGATTGTCTAATTTTCTTTGAAACGAAATTGTGGTATCCTTAGCAGAGGCCCTCGTCTAGAGGACATAATACTGTGGCTTATGGTCATGAGACCCTAGCCCGGGGGAAAGAATAT